CTGACTGACTGACTGACTGACTGACTGACTGACTGACTGACTGACTGACTGACTGACTGACTGACTGACTGACTGACTGACTGACTGACTGACTGACTGACTGACTGACTGACTGACTGACTGACTGACTGACTGACTGACTGACTGACTGACTGACTTACTGACTGACTGACTGACTGACTGACTGACTGACTGACTGACTGACTGACTGACTGACTGACTGACTGACTGACTGACTGACTGACTGACTGACTGACTGACTGACTGACTGACTGACTGACTGACTGACTGACTGACTGACTGACTGATTGGTTTATGTTACTACAACTTATAAAACTCATTCAAATTGAATTGTCACCCAAATTGAAATTTGAAGTTAATTTTGTTTTTCATTTGTTTTTAAGGTGACAATGTTTGCAAAGATCCTGAAAACGTTTGTTTTCAGGATTCTTCATCACCAAGATGGATGACGTCATCTTCATCAACAGCTTCCTGCAAATGTTACTGTCCATCTTATGGAAATAAAATATGGATGGGTGATGAACTGAAGTGTCAAGGTTACAAACATTTGTCGTTGTAATTTAAAATTTTATGAGGGTGGTTATAATAATATTAGATGGGGGGTCTTCATTAAGGAGGTGGTTATTAGGTGGGGGTCTTTATTGGGAGAGGGGTCATTAGAAAAATGCTTACATTAAAATCTGGAGAATTGATTTTGGACAGATATCGAGAAAATAAAAAATTTTAAAAAATGAAGAGTGATAATAGAGTAGAGTGCTAGAGACTTGCCTGAGTTTTGCGTTCTTCTTCAATTTTGTGATGCGGTACTTAATCGTAACATTCATTAACAACATCCTTCACTGTCGGCAAGTTCAAACAATTTTCGCTCATTATAAAATAACAAAAAATATTTTTATAAAACCTGCCAACTGCCACAGCTCCAACCAACTACTTCCTGATCGCTGACATGATGAGCATCAAGTTGCTGGGGGCAGATTTGAAGGGTGACCGATCAACGTACATGCTCCTGACTGCTGGCCACAGCAGCAGCTTTAGTGCCGTCGCTTTTGACGCCAAACGGCAACTGCTGCTTTTCAGTGATGTTAACAGGTTGTTGTTGTTGTTGGTTTTTTATGTTTTTGTTGCTTTTAATAGTTATCTGACTGTTGTTGTTGTTGTTGTTGATGATGATGTTGTTGTGTTATAATAGTTGTTAAAACTGTTTCATCAATCGTCATCTCATTGCTTAAATTAGATTGTTTCAGTGCAATAGCACAACAAAAGCCTTTGGTTGACATTGTTGTATTGCATTTTATTAAATAAAATACAGGTTTTGAAAATAATTGAGACTTACTTTAAATCTTATTTGCCGAGTTATCTCAGTCGGTATAGAAGTGCCATATCTCCTTCGTTTTTTTTCGCCCTGACCTGGTTTGAACGCTGTCCAAAACTTGAAGACTACCATACAACTTCGGCAGACGATCCGATGTTTTAGCTTGCATACAAATGTGTATGCACGTTGTGCAGCGTGTGTGATGCGGTCTTTGAGGCACACAATTTTGACAGAAAATAAGCTTGCACTGTTCAGCTCTCTCATGTATTTGTTGGTCAGAAGCCATTAAAGTTATTAAATAAAAACTTCCATGTTCTTGCCATCATCACGTGGATTTTGTTAATGTTTTTATTTGATATAACTTGGAATAATATTACTACAAACAAATTTGTAAATTCATTAAAATTTAATGAAATCATTAAAGAAAATACTGATAATACAATTTAAGCAGTTATTTGGTTATTTGATTGACCCTTTATGCATTGGTTCAGTCGTGTGATCATGACCATGAAGACTTCTGATCCACCCAGCAGCAGCAACAACAACAACAACACAACATCATCACAGTCTTCCAAACAACAACCCCTGGCATACAGCGTTGAAGGTGTCGTTGATGACATGCTCATACATGGCGACCACCTGTACTGGCTGGCGAACGATGCTGGCATTGTTGCCAGAGTCCTCCTGGCTTCCTTGGACAACAACAACACCACCAACGTCAATAGAAATAACAACAACAATGCCAACAACAACACTAACTCTGATAGTAGAAGCAGCAAGACCAATAAAATCAGTTACGAGACATTGTATTCCAACTTGAGTCTACCGAAGAACTTGGTCCTGTATGAGAAGTCCATGTTCGCTCGTTACATTCTTGTCAATTGCTGCTCTTAATGTTTATTATTTAATTATTTAATTTTTAAATGTGAATTGGTGAAATCTGCAAGCTACACAGCCTGTTCAACCTACACCACACACACACACTCACACACACACACACACACACACACACACACAAACACACACACAAACAAACAAATACATACAAACACACATACAAACACACACACACACATACACACACACACACACAAACACACACACAAACAAACAAATACATACAAACACACATACAAACACACACACACAAACACACACACACACATAGACACAACCAAACACACATACATTCACACACGCACAAATACACACTCATGCACAAATACATTCAGGCAACTCTACTGGACTTGCGACAACTCACCTTCAGTTTGGATGATGAATTTGAACAATACGACCAACAACAACAACAACAACAATTACAACAACGTCATCACATTCAACATAACATCGGTGGCCAGGCCTGTCTTGTATATTGACCAAGCAAATGACTCCTTGTTCGTCCTCGACAAATACAATGGCCTCATTCAATCCTGCAACCTCGCTAATCTATGTACGTTTTCAATTATTACCAGCATTATTATTATCTGTAATAATAACTATTATTATTTGTTAAATATTAAAATTATAATTATATGATAATATATGTTACAATAATTTTGACTCCGTGAGCAATGATTCGCTGTTATTCCCAAATTAATTAAAAGTTTTAATTAATTAATTAATTAATTTGTCGTTCGCTTGCACTTGTTGCTTATTTATTTGGCTTCATATTTATATTCAGTGAATATTCAAAATCAGTGAGCTGAAGGTTAAAAGTAAATTTTAAAAAAATGCAGTTTCAAATTATTTTGCATCAGATCATTCAGTCAAGGAAAAAAACTGTTTCCGCAATTATTCCATCTGAATGTAAGCGGAGATTGATTTCATGAAGATAAAACAAATGGATTTGACCACTTCGACCAACTTTCTTGAATGAACTGTTTGAACATAGAAAATGACTTTGATAATGACTTATTAATTTTTTATATATCATCAGATCTTGTAAATTAAAAAAAATCAACAATTCAAAAAAACAAATTCCAACAGCCTCGTACGATGGAAAAACACCTCCCTGCAGCAAAGTTACGACACTACCGGGTTCAAACGCAAGCCTTTTCTATTCCTTCCTCGTCAAGAACGCAGTTGTTTATTACGTGGACTGGAACTCGAGAGCCTTCTACGCATACAACTGGCAGACGAAACGACGGTCGGCACTGACCGAGAACCTCAGCAGGCCCACCAGGTTCCTCCTCCACCATCCCTCCAATCTCTCAGGTCTCCCTATATTAAATTTCATTTCGCTTTTTTATATTTTAAACGAGTTGTCTTATTCAAACTGTTTCTAAATTACGTTTGTGAAAGAAGTTGGATGGAAAATTATTTAAACTGATTTTGAAGTGGTCGCCAACCACTGAGATGTGTGCATTTTGGTTGAACTTCATGTAACTAATTAGAAAACATGTTCAGATACTGATAGTTGCAGGCAATCATGAATAATTAACACGCAGATAATTGCCGCCAGTCCCCCTGTGTGAACGGCTGCAACCCCATAGTGGGAGGGTACTTTTGCAGCTGCCCCCCAGACCAGGTGCTCAGTTACGATGGGTTCAAGTGCATGCAGGGACAGTTCAACCAATGTTCGTTGCTCCATTTATATTTATTTGTAACAGATGTATATACTGAACTTATTTCAAAATTATCGTAAAAGATTTTTTGTATTAAAAATTGACTTTTTATAAAAATGCTTTAATATGGACAATTTAAAATAGATTGGAAAATAGAAATTCAGTTTTGACATTATTATTATTATTTATTTATAAATTAATTTTTTGAGGTGACAACAACACATTGCGTGGGATAAACATTCGAACCAAGTTGCCGCAACAGAGCCCAATTGCCGCAACAGAGCCCAATTGCTGCAACAGAGTCCAGTTGCCGCAACAGAGCCCAATTGCCGCAACAGAGTCCAGTTGCAGCAACTGAGTCCAGTTGTTGCAAAAGAGTCCAGCAGCAGAGCCCAGTTGCTGAACATAAGGACTAGCCTCCAACCATTACACCATTTTGCAGTCCATCAGAAATAATTTCCACTACTAGGTGGACAAAGATTGAGTGTGTGTGTGATGAACATTAATAATTGACGAATCATTCAGTTGCAAACTAAACACGCGCATGTAATTTAGAAAGTTAAATCTTGTAAGTGTTAATAAAATGTTTCATATGTGTAGGGCACTATTGTTGTTGCTTTTAAATTAGATAGAAATGTCTTTGCGAGGAAATGCGATCGTGTTGTTGTTGTTGTTGTTGTTTGTTGCCGCACCATGCAGAAAACCGCACATTTTACTCTGCAACTGCTCTTCAGTCTCTCTTCATTTATCATTTGAGTTGTTTTAGATGAATTTTAAGGTGTTTATCTATTTAGAATCTATTGAAAATTGAACCATCGTTCATAATGGAAATGTCAAATGGAAACCATTGCATCTGACAACATAAATAATTGCTCGTTTGTACAACTCATTTCACTCTCAACGCAGCCACCACACTGACCACAGGATTCTTCCAAACGCTTTCTTCAAACAACCCCTACCCCACCACCTCTAGACTCTCAACTCTAACCACCAAAAAGTCATCAATCGAGTTCAACATAACGACGATCCTGATGACGTCAATCCTCATCACATTCACCACAAACTCCTACCTCATCACGACCACCACTACTCACAAGACCACTTTCAACATTTACAACATCACCACATCTTTCTGGAACATCTTCTCAACAAGGCAGCTCACCACAATTTCTCCATCAACAACCACCAAATCATCATCATCATCATCATCGATCTCTGACATTACATACACAACAACACAATCTTACATCATTCGCACATCTTCCCACACATTAAATACATCAACTGTCACCAACGACAACAACTACAACTTTTCCACGACAACTAAAACTAACCTCAAAAACTTCACCCTGACAGTCATCCTCTTAACAAATGTAACTCTCACCACTTCGACAACTCACCCTAATACTTCTGCATTCTCATACGTGATACCATTGTCATCATCATCATCATCATCATATTCACAATCATCATCATCAGCGCTACTAACATCGTCATCATCATACCTCTATTAACAACAGCTGTTAACTCTACTAATA